TGTTGTCTAACCACTCATCAGTAAGACTGAGCCTCAGGAACATTGAGTTAGCCTGTTCTAGCACTGTGTTTGGACAGCAAAGTTATTCTGGATCTTGTGTCCTCAACTGGCTCATTTCCACACATACTATGATGCCATCTTCTCAGTGAGGCTGATACCACTGTATTTTGACCTGTACTGTACTATATACAACATGTCTAGTTAAATTTTAGGCAGACATGTCTTCTGTTCACTGAACTCCATTCTAAATGGGTATTCTAAAGCAAACTGTCAGACCAAACACTGATTTCTTCAATGAGCATGGCAAAAGAAAGCTAACTATCATAATGTTAGAGCTCACCTGCAGGAGACAGTTCATAGGGCTTGTGTAAAACTCCGCACGCTTTCATTCATACGTACTACCAGCCATGATACCCGCTCCATTATCTTCTCCATGTGCAAAGTACATTCCAACTCATAAGAACACACTATCTATTACGTATAATTTTGATTTTTTTATTCTCTCAAGTCCATTCCTCTGTTTGGAACGATGACTTTTGCTTCACACAGCTTAATCGTGGTATAGAAATTAGTTCCTTGAGAGTAAAAACCTGACAGAACCGAAGTTGCTCAAGGAATACAACTGGTTATTATGGCAATCCTCCTCTTCTCTGAGTGGACCTGTTTAATTCACTCTGAACACTACAGTAAAAACCCAGCTGCCAGATGTAGTAGTATGTAGTACCCTGTTCGTTAAGAGAGGGGATACCACCCAGGAACAGAGATTCAGAAAACAACATCCCTAATCCAGTTTCTATCAGTTTGTTTACCAGCTGATCCTGCCATCTGCCTAAACCTTTAGTTTCATTTTCTGCAAACAGTCACAACTTTTATAAAATGTAAAAGATGAAGAATATTCTGAGAACTAGATACTGTTAAATAAAAAAAAAAAATCCTACCTGTCAACTAGGCAACATATGCAAGTCCCATTCTTGTCTAAAAATATCTTCTACCTTCCTGTTGGTAATGACAAACTCCAACTTGTAATGACTACTTAACCCCTGCCCCCAAAACCAACCACAAACACCCAAAACCCACCAAACAAAACCCATGCCAATTTTCCCCTTCTTTTCTTTGATTTTTTCCAATTATGTATATTCAAGAAGACAGACAGCCTTTGGGACTTGCCCAGCACCATCCCAGACATCCAAGAAATTAAGGGAAGAACACTACGCTTTCCTTTACTGTGTAAAACCTCCTCCTCAGAATAAATAGCCAGGCAAATCTTCTCCAGTCTAAGGAGCATTTTCACGCAGTATCAGCCAATACAATACCAAAGTAAACTAAAGAATATGCTCAGGTATTACATATTCTTTAGCCCTATGCTTATTAAAAAGCTGTAAGACAACTGACTGAGGAATGGCAGATTACTGGAAATGAAACTGGCCTCTGATAACAATAGATCAGTGGTTAAACTGATAGGTAGTCAGAGCCAGTAGGATGTTTTACGAAAAAGAACATCGTTGTTCTAGAACTGTTGAAAAGCAAGTATAACTCTTCTACCACAACTGGAATTGCCAAATTCAGAATGGTAGCGTTATTTTTCTATCAGCTCCTTAAGAAACCAGATAGAAAGACTAAAGCAGCCATTACTACAAGAAAACTCAGAAGCAAGTCTAGAAGCATGCATCCCTTCTTTCTGCCAATTAAAAGGTGGCTGTCTACTATTTGCTCTTTCTCCTCTTCTAACCGCAAGAATGAATTTGAGAAGACAAGTGGAGAAAAAGATGATAGAAGACAGCTTCACCTGACAAACGACACAGGGGACTGACATATTTTGTTATCTTCTGGGTGGAGATGGGAGGAGCACATCTGATTTTGACATGTGCTTATACAACATGTTTCCCCAGTGGTACAGTGTTTGCTATTTTGTTCTCTATTCATGCGAATAGAGACCTGACCATCTTTTCGGGGAAGTCTGCTGCCTCCCTAGGGCCCAACTTAGAGATGTCACCAGACAACTGAATAGCTTAGTACAGCTTTTGGACTATTATCCACTCCTTTCATGTGGGTACTAATGATGTTGCAACAAAAAGTCTACAGTCAATCAAAAGAGATTTCAGGGCCCTGGGAAGAATGCTAAAAAATTCAGGAGCACAGGTAGTGTTTTCCTCAATCCTCCCAGTAATGCGGAGAGACTTTGGAAGAAAGAGATGAGCCCAAGATACAAATACCTGGCTCTAGGACTGGTGCCTCCACCAAAACTTTGGGTTTTATAACACTGAAGAACCTTTGAGGCACAAGGTATGATGGGGCCTGATGGGATCCATCTGTCCTGATGGGGGAAACACATTTTTAGTTGTAAGCTGGCAGGACTGATTGAGAGGGCTTTCAGTTAGAATCACTGGGGGAAGAGGATGCCAACAGGAGAGCTGAAGGTTAAGCCAAGGATTGGCATGGCATCGCCTGAGAGTGGCTATGCTAGCGGGAACATTTATGCTGCTTTTAGGAGCATGGAGGGCTCAGGAGCACATCTGAAATGTTAGTACACCAACGCATGCAGTATGAATAACAAAGAGGATGAACTAACCCTAACCCTAACCCTGTTGAAGCAGACTCTTACTCTCCCGACTGAAGCCTGACTGAAGCAAAGACTTTTTGGGTATTACATAAGGGTGGTGAGCATATTTATTCTCAGCCCAATTGCTCATTAAGGCTTGACTATAATCTGTGAGTGCTAGCCACTACATAATTACTTTGGACTTTTGCATTTAGCTATGCAAAATGTGTTGCTACAGGTAAGATGCTCAAGCAAGCTAACCTAAAGAAGGGAGGTAACAGACGGATAGAGAACAAGATCAGCCTCAATCCTTTGTAGTAGGTCCTCTTGCCTGAAAGGTGAAGACTGAAAACAAGATCGTCAACCTGCAACTTCTAGTGATTTTTGGAGACTTCAGCTCACTAGGTTGGAAAAGTTTCCATTACTGGTGGTTGTAACCTAAACACAGAAATTATCATTTCCCAGAAGTCAAAAATGAAATTCCTTCCTTTCAGAGAAAAGTTTAGGGATCTGAGTTATTCAGAAGTGACACTGTCCACAGCAGAGTCCTCAAATGATGAGCTTGGAGAGGCTGAAAGTGTATAACAAGGTTAATTGCCTGATGGTTTGTAACTAAGCTACTACTGATCAGTATGCATTCAGTAAGAGTATGTGCTGTCTCTTTACGAAGGTACTGAGAGAAACACCAGGCATTTTTTCTGTTCTTCTGAGGCTGGCAGACACACCCAGTGTAAGTACCCAACAAGGCAGAAATAATTCAGAAATTAGTCATTGAAGCATCTTTACTGATACTGAAGAGTACAATCCGCCCTCTGGCATTTCAAAGGATCTACAGAGCCCTACACCTGCAGACAACTTGTTTGAACCAGGAATAAACACTGATTATATTTAAGAGATGTATGGTAGCCTTCACATGAGAAGGCCTTGGTCCCAGTTCAAACTTCTCCATGCCAGAGCCATGACTATGGTTTACATAAGTCAGTAAACTGAGATGAGGCTCATTAACAGTTCTCTGCAATCAGACTGACTGTGCCAAGACAACTTGATAGTTCTCATTGGTGTTGTACTGTGCCTGCTGTATTACAATGTTTCCACAGATTTAATGACTACTTATTTACGCTAAAATGACTTTATTTGCTTGCTAGAAAGAAGAGATAGACCCAACAGATAACAAGTGAAAGGACAATGAACACAGACTGAAGATCCTGGATGAACAGTAACATTTTGTCTGGAACATTAGCTAAGAAAAAGACTAAAATTTGCAGCATGAGTTAAGTAACTCAAAACATAACAGCTTGCTCCATGGATAACACAGGATGTGACCATCAACCACCAAAACAAATTGCTGCTGTCTACATACGTTACTGATGTCTGTAGTAAGATGTCACAAATGCATTTTATATACGTGTTAGAATACCATACACACAGGCAAATGCTGTTATTCCTGAAGAGCAATTATTTAATCTCAGTGAAACTTTTTTTTTTGCATTTAAAGTTATTACACTAGAAAAAACTTAGCAGTATGTACATGAAAAGTCACTTCAAGCAGACAGATGATCTCATTACTTCAATACCCTTTCGGTGCCACGGTTTGACAGATGTTGATGAAGTTGAAAGTGTCCATTGATACAACTGCTCTGTTAAACTAAAGCTAAACAAAGCCTTGATGCAAACTTGCATTATACCCTAAACGAACCATGAGTGCAGAAGAAGAGATAAAAGCACAGCAATTGAAAACCATTAAACCAGTGGTGATGGCAGACCTGTAAGTGGAGGCTCAGCCTGATACCAGCTTCTAATATGAAGGGCAAAGTCCTGGTGATCAAGAGGTAACACACATCGGGGCGGGGGGGGGGCGGCAGGAATGGGTTGAGCTGTAATCTCTACCCCCATTATCACACTTCACTTTCACCTATTATTGTATCATAAGCCTAATTTACACAGCAAAATTCCATAACCTTGACTTAAGATGTGAGAAAGACCCGTGGAAAAGTCTGTAGAAAGATAATAACTACAGATAGAATTAAAACTGTTCACACAAGATTTGCTGGTAACTTATAGATTTAAGAGGAGATAAACGCATCAACAAGGAAAAGCATAAAATGCAATGGGGAAAAAAACCCAACATGGCATGGAGAGCAAGTGTCATCAGCTGCGGTTTGGAGTCAGTTAAAGGTGGCAACTCATCAACCCATGCTCCAGGAGGCCGCAGAAACTGACTTTTCCTCTCCAAAACAATGCTAGTCCAGCAAACAGTGATTTTTTGGGTGTTGTTTCAAAGGCATTGTTACAATTTGGATGGGGGAGTGTTCTTCTTTCTTCTTTTTTCTTTTTTTTTTTTCTTTACTGCTACAGATCATGAAAGGAAATGCAGGACTACATAAAATAACATTTGGCAAATGAACACTCAGAAATCTGTAGGGTACTGTCATCTTCCACAAAAATGACATTCAATACTTACTGTGCACACATGAGGCCAGTTCTCAAGCTGTCGGAGCACTGCTGTACTAAGCTCCTCCCAGTACATTTCCCGGTAGATCTGTGGCATCTTTGACACCCAGACACCACTACTGCACTTGCTCAGAATCTCCTTAATGCGACTTTGAACTTCATTGATATGAGCAGCAGAAGGGCCAGAGGCAAGAGTATGTGTCTCCACAATGGATGTATTCAAGTTATCTGTTAAACAAAAATACAGCCTTGAAGTAAACATAGCCTTATCAGCAGAGAGAAAGACAGATGATTACCTACCTACTTAAAAATTAAACATGGGAGCTGCCAGCATAACACCAATTCTAAAATGCAGCTCTCTTGCCCAGCATGGCTGTTTCAGTCCCTTTCTACTGGAAAGAGCCATGGAAACCTCAGACGTTTAGTAACTAACCTGAAGCTGAATTTTCAATCACTGTAGTTATTTTCATAAGAAGTTGCTAAATGTTTCTTCAGAAGGGATCCTGGAAGAGGTTACAGAACCCTCAGCCATACTGTTGCTGAGAGGCTGTACTGAGGCAGTGTCCCAAAAGGACACAAGATAATTTCTTTAGGAGTACAAACACAACAAAGATACAGCAAAACACCCAAGGATGTTCTTCTAAATTCAGTCAGATGTACAAAACAGACCAATAATTTGCCTTTCATTATAAGATATGTCCTGAGGAAAAGTCTGAACCCAGCACCCAGCCTTTCTGTGCTACTGCTTACAAGGAAGTCCTTGGAAAGAGACAGCAACTGTCCAGCTACTTTGGACAGTTTCATACATTGTGTGCAGAAGCAAGACAGTCATTATCCCAGTTGGAGGTTCACATCACTAGTTGCCTGCTCCCTCACCTCTATTCCTCTCCTCCCTTTGGAGGGATGTATTTGCTACCAGACCTGAAGTTTCACAAATCAGCCTGACAGGTCTCAAAGAAACCATCATTTAACAACCCCATCAACTGCATGACTGCTGGAAGCCAGGCATGCAGAAGGGTATTTTCTAGACAGCTAGATTAGTGTGCTGCTTACTCCTGAAAGACGGGATTTCACACTCCTACACCAGATCCCTACCCTGGCAGTGAAGCTAAGCGTACTCCTCCTGTTTCCAAGCTACTCACACTTGCTTTGTGATTGGCTTTGACACTTACTACACAAGGATCTTCCTAGAAGACAGAGAGGCAGACAAGTAAACACACACATTTCCCCAGCACCATGAAATCAGAGTGAGAAGATTCACTCTCAGAACTTTGATTCTCACCCAAACCTATCTTCATTCAAAACAAGTACTAAGACGGATTTTTCTTAAGATGACACCCAGTCTAATGTCAGTAGTTGACAAAATTTTTCTTAATGGACAAACATACCATTTGAATCTATGGAAGAGCTTCTGGATAGGTGAACTTGCAACTCCTTTTGAAACCGTGGTGGGACAGTTAGTCTCTTCTCAGACCTAAAATTGAAAAGAAAATTACTTTAAATCATTGTCCTGACTCTGAATAGCATTCCATTTCCTTACAAGAAGCGTACATAAAATAAAATGTATTTCACATACTTCTAGCAGGCCCCTTGCACAAGATCAGTACTCACAATGTCCTGGCTTGGAAGACAACCTGATCAGCAGTAACAAGACAGATCAACAGGTGGTTTCTAGTTTTTTCTTATTATCCCGATTATTATGAGAAACAAAACGCACAGTAAAAAGACATAAGCAAAAGAAAAGCATCTAGGCCTAGTAACACCGTTGATGGTCTTATATTTGATACATTCAGCCTAACTATTTGGTCTTTTATCTGGATGGCGTCTCAGTCTTGCTGTTGAACATCATTATGCCACCTTCTTGGTAACTACTTCAGAGTCTCCTGAAAGTATTTGGCTTCAGAAGTCAGGGAACACCTAAAACTACACAAGAACTCAAGGACTTTTTGTGGACATTGTTGCTACACTGTTTAATAGATTCCTCTCTGAAGTGCTCTCCCACAGAAATGACAAAAATGTCATGCTTGCAGGTGTTCTTCTGACGTCCCTCAGAGAGCTGCAGGCTCGAGACAAGTTTCTCCACTGCAGCTCCACCCAGCTCGCTCAGGAGCAGAACGGGGCTTAGCTCAGTCCACACTCTTGTCCTTAGGAGCTGTGGTGCAGAGAGGCACATCTCGAGTCTCCCCGCTCCTGCTGGGGCCCTGGCCTCACTCCCCTCACCTGCCGCATGCAGCACATCTCTCTTCCCTGGCCTCTACCTCCAAATCCCTCACTCCTCACATGGCCGCTGCCAGCTCCTCTGGCTTCCTCA